CAACTTGCATAAAATGCTTTTCTGATTGTTTTAGTGGCAATATTTTCTATCAGTGTAACTTCCATCCAGCAAGCAAAATGCTCAATGCATGTTCAGCAATATTTATTCCCATTTGATTGAGGGTAGGGTCCAATTATATTGAGATGGACAATGCTAAATCTTTCATCAGGTTCTTCAAATGAGTTGAATTTGGAATGCATGTGCTGAATAATTTTAATTTTCTAGCAACAAATGCAAGTTTTAGCCCATTCTCTCTCTCTCTTTTTTTAATATTCTTCCAAATGAACCTTGATGTTACTTGTTCCACTGATATTTTGATGCCAGGGTGGTTCAAGTCATGTACTTTGTGAGAAACATTTATTCAAAATGGTTGTGATATAAACGGTCGAATATTTGGAGTTGAAATATCACACCAGATTATTTTTCCAGAGGGTATTGGGTATTGTTTAAAATGTACATTTTTGCTACTATTTTAGCAATTCTTCTAGTTCTTCACAATTAATTTGTTCATTTGCAATTTTGTCATAATTAATGTCCAAAACGAATTCAATTCTACACATCGAATCTGCAACCACTATTATCTTACCCAGTTATGTATTTTATATTTGTTGAAAACTGAGAAATGTACTGCAGCTGTCTTAATTGTCTTGGTGATGCTTTATCATTTTTCTGTTTAAATGCAAATATAAGTGGCTTGTAATCTGTGAATATTGTAATTTCTCATCCTCCTAACATATGTTTAAATTGTTTACTGGAAAGGTAGATACTTAAAAGTTCCCAGTCGTGTGTGCTATAAGCTATCTGAGTGTCACTTAACTTTTTGAAATAGAATGCTACTGGTTTGCAATCTTTGTCTTCATACTGCTGTAGAACAGATCCAATTGTGAAATTAAAGGCATCTGTACATAGAGCTAATGTTAGGTCTGGATTATTAATAAAGCAGTATTTGCTAAATCCTCTTTTGCAATTTTCAAGGATTTCTTGCTTCTTCTGTCCATGGAATTTTCCTTTGATCTTTTTTGTTGAAATTTTTAAATATTCATATAAAGGGAGCTTGGGTATTAGCTGCATCTTTTAAGTATCTTCTATAAAAGTTAATCATTGCACTTTTAGGAAGTTTGTAATTTGTTATGGCTAGTATTTTTTCTGGAAAAGGTTTTGAGCCATTTGGTGTTATCAAATATCCTAAAAATTCTAATTTGTTCATTCGCATTAATGATTTAGATTGGTTGATGCGTAAACCATACTGTTGAATTCTACTAAATACTTTCGTAAGATGTTTTTTATGCTGCTCCTCAGTTTCCAACACTATTAGAAGCTTATTGAAATACAGAAGACTATTGCATAGTTCACTGAAAACTGTATTAACGAATCTTTGAAAAGTGGAGGGAGCATTTCTCAAGCCAAAACTCATTACGTTAAATTAAAAAGTCTAAATGGTATTTTTATCCCTGTTTTTTGTTTATCTTCTTCTGCTAAATGTGATGGGAGTTTTCAGTTCTGGGTAAAGGATAGTGATCTGGTAGTGTGATATCATTTAAGCTGCAATAATCTCCTCATGGTCTTAGAGTGCCCTCTGATTTTGTAACTAAATGAAGTGGGTTTGCCCATGGCAATTTTGAAGGTCTGATAATGTCATTTTCAAGCATAAAGTTGAATTCTTGTTTGGTTATTTCTAATCTTTTAGGAGCTAACAGCCTTGCTTTTGAATAAACTGGTTTGCCACTAGTAGTTATGCAATGCTCAATATTGTGTTTTGTTTTAGAAATTAGTAAATCAGGTTTCGTTATTTCCAGAAATTATGTCAAAATATTATAACATTTATTATTTTTGTTTAAGGTGCTTATATTTGATTCATCAGCTGATGATGTAATTGCACCAATAATGCTCAGTTTAGTTACACCATCAATTAGTTTTTTTTCTTTTTTTTTTTTCTTTTTTTTTTTTTTTTTTTAATATCAATCAATAAATTAAACTGGTTAAGAAAATCTGCACTTAAATACCTTTGGTAACTTTGGCTACTGCAAGTTACAGTGAAGTCTAAAATCAAGAGTTAAAATTTTGTCTGAAACATGGGATTTCAGTACCATTTGCAGCATAAAGCTTCAAGTCACCACTTATTTTGTCATTACATGTGGCTGAAATTAGACTTAAAATCACACCACTGTCAATCAGAAATTATATCCCTTTTTTTGTCAATTACAAAAAGTCTATAATTGAATTCATGGCAATTTCTTAAATCATCATCAGCAGAACCATCCACTAATTCCGATTCTGCTGCACAGGCAAGTTTTCCTAGTTTTCCCCAGTTACATGATGGCTTAAATTTTTTTGGATAGCATCTTGATCCGAAAGAAATTGGTGATAACACAGTTTACCATCTGGGTTATAACGAATCCGATTTCTACCTCTAGACACTGATTTGTTATTTCTTTCTGTAATACAACTTCTTTCATTTGGCTGGTGATGGAAACTGAGCTCTTCAATCCGTCGTTCCAACAAAGATATCTTCTCCAGTAATTATGAAATGGTAATCTGTGACATGCTCAAATTCTTAACTTCAGTTAAATGAGCCTCATATACTTCATTTTGTGAACATATGTTAAAAGTCTTATCAGCCATAATCACCAATTATATCAATACCTTCATCTCTAACCAGCAATATGTGTTTAACATTGTGTGGCAATTTTTCAATCCATAGTGTTTTTAATAAATATTACACTATGTCAGAAATATCACTAGTTACCAAGGATTCCACTTTTTGCAATAGATGGCTTAGTTTCATGTTGCCCACTTCAATGCCCATTGAAAAGGAATTTGACTCATTTGTTTTCACTTTCTTTGAATACATTTAATAAATGGTCTTTTGCCAATGTATATTTATTTTCAGCTTTAGCAGTTATTATGTCCCAAATAATTTCTGTATATTTAGGTTCTATTTGTGATAAAATGTAGTAAAATTTGGTATCTTCATAGTTATACCAGTAATTTTAAATTGTGCTTCTATCTGATAAAACCAAATTTTTTGGCTTGTCTATCCAAAAAGGAGGAATTTTTTACACTTACCTTCATAGATTCTGAAGAATTAGCACCATCTGACTGGTTTACTGTCTTCTCGCTACTTGCCGTAATATTTACCATTACTAACTCAGGTCACCAATAAATGTAGCAGTTGCTACATCACAAAAACTCTATTTATGTGTTAACAATAATTTTTCTTACTATATTTTAATGAAAATGATTTATTACTTTTAAGGCATCAATCTTCTAAAACATATTATCATTTCTATACCATTGCCATTCCAGTCTACATGAAGTTGTAGAAACAAAAAGATTATGTATTGTTTGTAGAAATTACATAACCATGTAATCCTTACGTATTAAAGAAGAAAATCAGCGAAACTTTGAGATGCTGTGCTTATTCTAATTAAAAAGCTGTTAAAAAATTGTTCATCTTGATATCAAGCATGTGTTTCATGCTGACGCACTTTTTGCATCACTCATATAAATAGAATAGCACCAAACACATTTCTGTTGCTTTGCATAATACTTCAGAAGTTTGCTTTTCACAAACAAGTGTCCAATCAATTAAAGAAATAATTTTTGGAAAATCCCTTTTCATCCAGTTAGTTCCAGTAAGGTCTACTGTCAATTTTTACAACAGCAGCAGCAAAAATTTATTTTTAATCATTGCCTGCTCTCTTGAAATCAGCACACTTTAAAATACACACTTTTGCCTCATTTAATTTTACCAGTTTGAAATCAAATAATATTTGGTTAGCTATAATAAATGCTAGAATAAATTTTAAAAGTTCTGTGTTCAAATTAAACAGAATTTAAAGAAAAAAAAAAAAAAAAAGGTTTTCAAACCTGCCAACTTAAAAAAAAAAAAAAAAAAAAAAAAAACACTGAACCAGAAAAGGGAGAACACAGTTCTCTCCTGTTCTAGTTTGCCAATCAACAAAATTCAATTTGAACTTCTCATGGCTTGAAAATGCAAATTAAGCTATCTATCAAATTTTTATATAGCATTATTTTAATGCATTCATTTTGATACAAGATCATAAAAATATGAATACTGTGCTTAAAAAATAAAAGATTTCATTATAAAAAAATCTGTATTGAAAAAATTACTATATTAAAAATTTATGAACAACTAATTAGCTTTGCATTATAGAAAATATTAATATATTACATAATAAATTTGCAAAAAGGCTTTACTAATAATTGATTTCCTTTTCATGTAAATACTCAGAGAAGTTTAAAAAAAAAAAAAAAAACCATGCAGCAACATCAGCTTAAAAGCAACTTGATGTTAAATTATATTAAATTCATACAAAAGGCAAATGATTAAGCATTCTTCAGAATCAAAACCTTTATTAGAAATTACATTTTTTAGATTTTAATAAGAAGTTCAAGTTTCTGAAAATTCTTTTCATATTTTATCGAAATTTTCAATAGTAGTTAAAAAAAGACTAAATAAATAGGAAAGAGAAAGTTTTTCGATATCATTTCGATATGGATATAATTTTTTATAAATGTTATATTTATATTATGATATCAACGGCATACAACCAAAATCACAAATCTGCTGCTTCTTTTTTTTTTGGATGGCGGCAACTTGTTTACTTTTTCTAAATTATATGTTTTTTTTTTCACAAAGAGTTAAACCTTAGAAAGAAATTTGTTCTACAGAAATCAAAACACAATATGTTTTCTCAGAATAATTATTTTGCAAACTCAGTTTTGGAATGTTGCCTAATGCATCTTGATTTATGTAATACAACTTATTCACTGATGTTACTATCAAAATTCTTAATCGTTTTGTGGTTAAAAAATTCTTAATTGTTTTCTTAAAAATAATATTTGGCATGAAACCCTATGAAAAAATGAAGTAGTTCCATTACAATAATAACAAAGCAGTAATTACTTTAAATGCATAAAAAGAGAAAGAAGTTGAAGGGAAACAGAATTCGAAAACTAAAGGGGAAAAAACTTACTAAAATTTTCAGCAATGATAAACATTTGTCCAATGCTAAAAAGACCACCAATAAAATCCAATAATACTGTTCCAATACTCCAACCAACAGTAGATTTTCTTTTAAAATTATAAACAACCTGAAATATTTAAATGAATTTAGAAAACAAAGTATGCCTATACATATGAATCATGACCCTAACATTTTATTTGAAATACAACACATAATTTTTTTATCAACATAACATTAAAAACATTTCACATCTCCTTCGGCATAACAAATACAAAATACATGATATTAGAAACACTTTTTATTAACCACAATAATGCTACAAATTACCAAAAATGTTAGCAACTGAATATACTGTAAATTAAATGTATTTTAAATTCCATTATTAACAAAATGAAGATTTAAATTAATATATGCATTTACGACCCAGTATTTCATGCAGCATATTTATAATTTTTTTATTTTCATGCAGCATTTATTTTCTGATTATAAATATAATAATATAAAATTATATTAAAGATCCTGTTTCAGCAAGTGGCAATACTCTCCAAACTGGTAAAGCCACATGAAAAAGGAATTAAAATCTTTTCTCTCATGTAATCACAATCATGGATGGTAAGTGCATGATGAAGAACATATGATCCAAAAAATGTAGAATTATAAAAACATGCCTAAACTATTGTAACAAAAGACAGAGAAAAGTTTTTACCTTAAACATATTAACAATTGATAAAATGTTACTTCTGATGTTCCTTGGATCCATTAATACTCAAAGAGTAGCAGAAGATGTGTTGCTATATCAGTTAATTAAGAGAATAAAACTAAAGTTAACTAAAGATACTTCCAGTTAACTAAATATACTATCAATTAACTAAAGAGGTTTTTATATTTAAATTTAAGGTAGAGGAAAGCATTCATGAATAAATGAACTCACTATACTGCCAGTTTGGAAAAGTTAATATTTGTAAAACACTGAAAATTTTTAAGTTGTTTCATCAAATTCGTCATTTTAAGTTTAGAAGTTACTTTTGTAATTTTTCCACTGCACGATTTTGTTATCCATTACATTTGTAGAAAATATAAGATGTAAATGAACAAATAAAATACTGCTAAATAAAAGATAAAAAAAAAAGTATACATATATTTGCCACATATCTGAAAAACTTATTCTGGTATACCCACAAAACGTTTCAAGAGTATAGTATATCAAACATAAATATGTTTTATAAGAATGATTTCTTCTTCATGCCTTTAAATATAAAATTATTAAAATTAAATTAATGCTGCTCATTCTAAATTAAAATAAAATGCTATCCTTTCTGTAATGTATAGTCCAATTCTGATTTAATGATACACTGGATTTAAGGATTGCTTTCATAGATTCAGCTTGAAAAATAAAAGATTAACTGAAATCCACCATGTATTAAATGCTCATTTGAAAAAGTAATATTTTTTCTGTTTGCTTAGAGCATGAAAAGACTGACTAACTTTAAGTACAGATAAAAATTTAGCTTTTGTAATACGTATTACATTTCCCGATTTTTGGTTTTTTTGTTTATTTATCATTTTTTATGAAATTCAAATAATAAAAACTTGCAAGAATCAAAAGATTCTTGAATTTTTTAGATTCACTGGAATAAAAAAAAATTACATTGATATGTATGTACCAACACGTTATTTAAAACAAGAAAGAAGCAGTAAAGAAGTGTTTTCTGATGAAACAAAAACTATTTCCTTTTTGAAGTTTGAATTTTTTCTTTATACAAGATATCATTCAATATAAAATTACTTGTTACCTGAAGAGATATTCTAGAAATTTTGAAATATTTTAAATGAAAAAAAGCTGAAATAATTTGAATTTTTATTATAAATTATGTACTAAAATTTAAAAAATACCTAATACATAGTGGTTATGATTTAAACTGAAAATAGATAAATATATTAAAAGCTTACAGAGTAAGGCAACCTACTAATAATGAAATTTGAAAAGGCTAAACGTTATAAAACCAAGTGAAATAGAAGATAAGCTTAGAAGAATTTTCATGTCAGCAATCTTTTTCAGTAGATCAAAATTTTAGTGTAACTAACTGATATGACAGCAAATTGGTACTATGCACATTAGTAAAAACTTTTCTAATTTGATTTAAATGCTTATATTTTAATACAAAAATAAAACTTTTAATTCAAAAAGCCTGATTAATGAAAGTATGGTTTGAGAACTAATGTAATTTTGCAGAAATATACTAATTCAAAATATAAAATATAATAATAATACTGTTACCTTCATTCCTGAAGCAAATTTGTAATCACTAATTCAAGAAAAAAAAATGTATCTGTTTTAATGTTACTTTAAACACAGAACCAAAGAAAACCAAAAGAAATATTTGAGAAATCCAGAATATCTTTTAATTCAAAAGTTTTCAGAGATGTATAATGCAGCAAATTTGTAATCACTAATTCAAGAAAAAAAAATGTATCTGTTTTAATGTTACTTTAAACACAGAACCAAAGAAAACCAAAAGAAATATTTGAGAAATCCAGAATATCTTTTAATTCCAAAGTTTTCAGAGATGTATAATGCTTACTAGACAGTTATTCCTGTATGGTGAGTTTTTAAACAAACACTCCCCCCCCAAAAAAAAACTTTTCAGATTTCAATTAGTTTTTAATATTTACAAATAATATAAATTCTTGCTTTAATTTAGCAATTTTTAATTGGAAAATAAATTTTCTCCAGAATTGTGAATATTAATTTGCTTACAACATAATTATCCAGTTTACTTTTTAAAAGTAACCAGATTCTTATTTTCTGCTACTATTTGTAAAATTATTTTGTATTTATTTTTAAACATTTTACCACAGTTGATGTGTTCCCATCTTTAATCATTTTATGGAATATTTTTTTGCAGTTAACTTCTGACTTCAGTTTTACTGCAACATATTCCCACACACATCAACTTTTTTCCTTTGGTACAATTCAATTATTTTTTCTTTTCAAATTATCTGAAATTAGTCAAAAATTATACTCTAATTAAAGAATATAATAATTACTAAACAAAAAAAAATTTCTCTTTAAAATTTTATACAAAATAATTATTTGACTATTTAAATTTAATTTTTTAGTAGCACTATATTACTCAAATAATTAGAAACAAAAACAAAATATTACTTCATTATATATTGTTAGATAAAACCCTTCAATCATAAAAACATATTATGCTTTGATGCTTTTGTGATTCATACAAAAGCTCTATTATGTATGTAGTACTTTCCTGTAACCTAAAGTACTTCCATTTTTGCCTGGTGATAGTCTTTCATAAAATACAGCTAGGAATGAATTAATATCAAATAAAGAAAAGCAAATCAAGAATCCTTCTCCCCCATTACCCGAAAAAACATGACATGGGCTCATACAGATGAAAAGTGATACAGCATATTTATATTATTTACTAATGTAAAATGTTTATATTGTTTTATTTAAAATGGTTAGTTACAGCAAAGCATATGAGCATAAAATTAACAATTACAGCAAAGCATATGAGCATATGATTAACAATTTATATTTTTATATAAATTGATAATATTTATTTAGGCGTTAACTTAGAATGAACATTTAAATAAATGTTCAAATGAATATGCACAATAAGAGATCAGGAACAATCATCCCTCTTTAATCGATCATGAACCAAAATACTTAGAAAATCCAATTTCTGCTAAAACATGACATTAAAGAGGTAATTTGTAAAGTAACCGTTGGTACAACATGGTGCTAGTAGTAGTGGTCGAAGCAGCACCTTTGTTACAACACCCAATCAGCTAGCGAAAGCTATGCTACTGAGAGCATTATACTCTTATACAACAGTACAGAAATAGAAATAAGTAACAATCTAATCAGCACAAAATCTTTTGTTTTGACCATCCAGATGTACTATCATATCTATGAGCAATTTTAACATGTCTATTTTCTTTTTCACAGCAAGAAACTGTGAAAAGTAAAATTAATAATAATAATAATAATTATGATAATTAAATAAAAAATATATTACTTTGTTCAACCGGGGGAGCACCCCAAGAAGGAAGACGCGGAAGGGGCATTGGGACGGAGGACTTCAAAAAAAGGAGACGATAAAAAAGAAAGATTTTGGGGCAAAAAGAAAAAGAAAGACATTGGGGGAGAAAAGGAAGCAATGACTGCAGCAGACAGAATTCGAGGCGAAAGAAAAAAAAGACGGAAGGACAGGATCAACGGGCACAAGCGTCCCCTTCTCGCGCGGAGGACAGAGAAAACACAGCTAAAACAAACTTACCTATTGGGGGCAGACGGGGAAAGCGGCGCATGATATCTGAGGGAAAGAAAAGGGAACAGCAAAAGGGGCAGAATACGGGGATAGCGCTGCTTCAGAAATTTCATCAAGAGAGGATATTACGCATATAAAAGGAAGAAGGGGCAGAGACTGGGGACTTTGTGAAGAGAAAGAAAGAAGAAGGCAAAAAACTTTACATTTTAAAAGTAGGCCAGGATTTAAAATTTTTTTTTTGGGGGGGGGAGAACAGAAGTCAAAAATTAATATATGAAATAATCATACATCGATTGGAGCTTAGCAGCTAACCTGGAATATATATTACTGAATGACACACTCATTACTGCAACATATATGCAAAAACTTGAACACAATGCCCACAATCCATCTTGCATAAATTTGTATGCAGAATAGTAGACTAGGCATTATCACTGCTGTATTTGCATTACAGTACCTACCAGCCATCATGAACTGGCCATTAGCACTAACTTCCTCAAAAGAATGACTTGGGGATCAATATAGAAGAGAATTCACATCAAACTGCGACTGGGCAAATGCTGAAGCATTTTCTAGAAAAAAAAACAGTGTTCTTAGATAGAAAAGTCTTAATATGACAGTTTTGAATGTTGATGCTACCAATTATTAAAATATACTTCATCTTCAAAAAGATGTTATCATCAATTTCCATTCTTAGTAGAAAGGTCATTGCAAATACGAATCACACCTTTATTGTCACTACTGCAGAACCTATGGCTGCAGCTGATGATGTATAGGAAAATATACAGTAACTCTTACAGTTTTCATATAAGGCGTCTAACTGGTGTAACAC